CTCCTCCTCCTCCTCCTCCTCCTCCTCCTCCCCAAGCCGTTGCGAGACTCACTCAACCGTCATCGTCGCCTTTGACGAACGGTTTTCCCTTTTTGGCCTTTGTTTGTCTACGAAGAAACCCGGCCGCGAAACGGCTGGTTGGGCTCGAATCCCCACCTTCGATATGTCGCGCAACAGCATCACGAGTCGGCCGCCGCGAGCCCTTGGGTCTCATGGCGCAGAGGCGTGCGGCGGTTCCCATCTTTGCGGACGCCATCGTCGATATCGTGCAGTCGCGACCCGCTCGGTCTGGAAGGTCGTTACCTCTCCTCTCACCTTCCTGGTACAAATACGAACTTCATGGCGCTCGTCGTTGCTCGAAAAATGCTCCGACAAAGCAGTTGCTAGCAGTTGCCCGACCCTGTTACCATTACCGCACATCATCATTTATCTCTTCCTCCCCTCCCCTTCCAACGTCACCCTAACATTGTTTTTTCTCTTCTTCTTCCAACATCATCATCTTCTCGAGCATCAGTCTTCACCTGGATTTGCTACCATTGCCAGATTGTATCAGCTTCCCATAGCTTTGTTCACATCCCCAATTCATCAACCTCCCGTCGAACGTTTGAGGTATTCCCCTCTGGACACCTAGACACTCCACCCGGGACGCATCCAGCCAAGCAAGCAAGTCCCGAAGCAAAGTCGTCCATAGTCATGAACATCAGCGACCCCACCGGCTTCAGGCTGCCAGGCTCCCATGGCCGCGGCGCCCTGGACACCGACGCCAGGCGCAATGGCGAGACCAAGAAGGAGATGCGGATCCCCGGCCTCGGGTTCCTGCCTAATAAGTTTCGGAATCACTTCATCGCCATGGTCGGCGAATTCATCGGGACCTTCTTGTTCCTCTTCTTCGCCTTCAGCGCCACCACCGTCGCCAACGCTTCCAACCTGGGTGTGGGAGGTACTACCTCCGACGGCAGTCTTAGTCAGAGACCGAATGCGCAGGCTCTCATGTATATTGCTCTTGCTTTCGGATTCAGCTTGGCGGTCAATGCTTGGGTCTTCTTCCGCATCAGTGGAGGTATGTTTGACCATGACGCTGTCGCAGCAACTTTGAGCTCGGCCACTGACCTCCTTCACTACAGGTCTGTTCAACCCGGCGGTCACCCTCGGACTTCTCCTGATTGGCTCGCTCACCTGGACCCGCGCTGGCCTGCTCTTCGTCGCTCAAATGCTCGGTGCGTTGGCTGCGTCAGCAGTGACTTCGGCACTCTTCCCATCCGCCCTCGATGTGTCCACGACTCTGTCTGGCCGCACTTCGGTCGTGCAAGGTTTATGTAAGTCTTCACGCTCACCTGGAAAGATCGACAATGCGTGTCAGCGCTGACCAATTTTTAGTCATCGAAATGTTCTTGACCGCGGAACTCGTCTTCACCATCTTCATGCTCGCTGCTGAGAAGCACAAGGCCACATTCATCGCTCCCATCGGCATCGGTCTCGCGCTCTTCGTCGCCGAGCTCAGCGGTGTCTACTTCACCGGTGGTACGTCCCTCACCGCGCGCGCCCACGAATTCATCAGATGCACCGCAGACTAATATTCTCACTCACAGGCTCCCTCAACCCAGCCCGCTCCTTCGGACCCTGCGTCGTCAACCGTCTCTTCCCGAGCTACCACTGGATCTACTGGCTGGGACCCTTCCTCGGCGCCCTCCTCGCCGTCGGTTTCTACCACTTCGTCAAGCACCTCGAATACGAGACCGCCAACCCGGGCCAAGACTTCAACGCCCACGAAGCGGAGAACTTCCACGTCGACGAGGACAGCGCTCGCGCCGAGGACATCCGCCGGGCCTCCCGCGCCGCCACTTGGCAAGACAACACGGTATCGCCCTTCACTGGCCGCAACGATAGCCAGGCTACCGGCAAGACGGCCGTGCCGCCTAGCGCCGCGGGGCATCCGCATGCTCTCGACGGGGCGTATTTCTCGGAACATGACAGCCCTTCCAAGGAGGCTTTTGACGCCTTGCCTGCGCTCGAAGCCGGTCATGGGCCTCTCGCCGTGCGTCCCATCGCGAAGTGAGATGACACCACTACGCTTGGACTGGGTCTGGAGGTCATCTCCATGACATTTGTGCAGCTCAAGATGGCGGAGAGAGGCCCTTTTGCACGACCTTGACTTGAGTAATGTGTCGCCGTTTTTTTTTCTTTTCTTTTCTATGACGATTGATGACGGATGATGTCCTTCCAGTGCTCTGGAAGCATGTTATGATAATAATGCGGAGGGCAAAAGTACTGACCTTTGGGGGATTCTTTTCTTGTGTTTCGTTTCTGCGCCGCCCTCCACGGGAAGTTTTTTTTTTGTCATTTCTTTTGTAGTACACCACTATTAATGGGAATCGTTGTTATGAACTCTCATGTTTGACGCTCCTCGTGCACGGTGTGTTTCTTATGCAAATTCGTTGCTCGACAGCGAGCAATGAAACTGTTCATTCAAGGCTTCTTCGACAGGAGGAACCGACGCGCACACGATGTTGTCACGAGACTCGGGAATTTATTCGAACGATGAGAGATCTCATCATGTGTCGCAGCCCATGATTTGGGACATTCATCCGCCGCCTATCTGCGACGGCCGCGACGGCCTTCGTCCGGAACCTACCTTTGCTTGCGACGACGATCAGATCGAATCATATCGAAATAATCATACGCCACCAATGGCTGTATTGCGCATACTGGATCCCATGCGAGTCGCTCAGCCTTGAAATATTGTGATGATTGTATGACCGCAATCGTGGTCGATGCAGTCTTGTGTGGAGGGAAAGCCAGCTTGCGGAGAGGATGTCCCCAGCCAAAGCACCTCCGCGGCGTTGCCTCCGAATCCGGAATGGGGCTCCAGACTTTAATAATTTCGAGCACCAGCGCCGCAGATCCATCATTCATCATTCGAGGGAATCGCCATCGTCTTTTTCTTCCCCCAGCGCTCGCCGAGATTCCCAGCTCGACATCGGATGTAGGGGAGCTGCCCAAGATGTCGACAAAGGCCTATAATCAAATCTTTCAGGCACGATTCGCCGTAACGCCCTGTCGGCGGACAGCACCGCACCCGACCTTCCTCCTCCGACCCTCACCCTTCCTCCACCATGACCGTTCCACAAGATCACCCTCACGACCCCGAGCCGACCACCGACCGTCCCCACGATGTCTCCACCAACGACGAGCGTTCACCTCCACCCCGGCCGGCCGCGCGGGGGTGCAGATGCCCAAGTCGCGGGCGACCAGCGCCCCGAGCATGCGGCGCATGAACCAAGAGCAGATGGCGCAGATGATGAAGGCGGGCACGATGCTCGACCACCTCGGGGTGATCGACGGGCAGTACGTGAAGCCGACGGGGGCGAACGCGCCGTCGTGGCGGAGCTCGCCGCTCGCGCGCCTCAGCCTGGAGATCCGCAGCCGCATCACCGCGCTCCGGCTGCGCTGCACGAGCTACTACGTGCGCCGCTGGAAGATCAGCCCGCCGGTGCCGGCGCCGCACACGGCGGAGATCATCCGCGCGACCAAGGCCCTCTACGAGGACATCTACACGGCGTTCGGCAACGGCGACCTGGCGCCCGTGCGCGACCGGCTCGCGCCGGGCTTCCACGACACGCTCTCCCAGCACATCCGCGAGCGCCGCCCGGACACGACGCGGCAGTGGCGGCTGGAGCGGTACGTCGGCGAGCCGCGCGTGGTGAGCTGCATCGTGGGGCTGCTGCCGAACGAGGCGGAGGCGGCGACGGCGGCGAAGGCGAAGACGGGCAAGGCGGAGACGGCGGCGGCCAAGGCGAAGGCGAAGAAGGCGGCGAAGGAGGCGGCCAAGGCGGCGAAGGAGGCGGCCAAGGCGGCGAAGCGGGACGCGAACGGGATGCTGCAGGCGATCGTGCGGATCCGGAGCGTGCAGTCGCTGGTGACGGTGGCGCGGAAGCGGACGTGGGACCGGGCGCGGCGCACGACGGTGGAGGAGAGCGTGCCGCTGAACCAGCGCGGCGAGGAGATCTCGGCCGCCGGCGCCGAGGAGGTCCGCAAGGCCACGGCCCGGGAGTCGGTCGAGTACTTCGTCGTCCAGAAGAAGATCCGCCACAGCCGCGTCGACCCCGACTGGCAGGCCTGGGGCGCCGCCCAGGAGTCCACCCCGGAGCGGATCGCGTACGAGGCCGCGCTGAGGGACGCCCGGATGGAGGAGCAGACGAGGAGGCAGGCGGCCGGGGAGGTTTAGGCGGGGAGAAGAGGGGAGGTGAGAGGGGGTGAGACGGTTGTCCGTCGTTGTTATCCTTGTTGTTGTTGTTGTTTTTTCGGGTACATACGTGTATGAATAGGGTGCGACTCTTGTGGGTTCAGTTCTTTGAGCATGTATTTATTTCGAACACCCTTCTATATGACGTTCGCATGAGAGCTGGTGATTGGGGCGGGGTTCAGACGTTCCGACAGGTGACTTTTTACCATCTTGAGTGCAATTTGGGGGATAAAATGTCAGGGGTCAAAAGAGGTAGACGATTGGGTGGCAAGAGCCCATTTCAATTTCGAAAGCTATGGATTGAGTTTTGCTGCTGATGATGAATCCGAATTTGTCATCCCGGATGGATTCTCGCTCATTCTGACAATGACGACAAACCAAGAGAGAGAGAGAACCCGTAGAACTGCTCTCTCTCTCTCTCTCTGTGTGTGTGCCACAATCTCAAGGATCAGAACTGCCTCCCTTCCAAAAAAAATGTGGATACATCCCATCAAGCCCCAGCCAATCAAATGTGATAATTGCGGTCAAAGAAGGTCCCTTCGGTCTTTGGTGCAATGCAGCAAACTTCCCACTTGCCCGTACCATGGGCCCTCTGGCATTCATGGATTTGGTCCGGAATCGTATGTCCAGTCGCGAGTGACGGGGAGGCCGCCCAAGTAAAGTTGGGGGCAACCCGGTCATGGCTGGCTGGCTGTTTGATTGTTTGTCATGGTCCGACGCTCAAAAAAAAGCTGGCGGGAGCCGATAGACAAGCACAGCGGGGAGGGCTTTGCATTGCATCCTGTGTCGTCTCATGATGAGAGACGACTAGAAACCGTGGACTTTGATGGTCTTGGCATCGAGCTCAAGACCTTCCTTCTTGTCGATGAGAAACTCTTGCACATCCTTGCGCTGATCCCCCTGGAGCTGGATCACCTCGCCCATCTCGGAATCGACGACGATGGTGCCATTGCAGGCGAATTTCTTCTTGATGACCTTGAGGATCTTCTTCTGGTCGAACTTCTTGGGCAGACCTTGGACTGTAGTCAAGGTTTTGCGACCATTGCGCTCTGCGAGGGAGAAAGGGTGATTGTTCAGTATTATTATTTTTGCGGGGTGTCACGTGCCGTGCAAGGGCATCGTCGCGATGATGGAGGCAAGGCAAGACTCACGTTGGATACGGATGTGGATGTAGTTCTGCGACTGCTTGGTCTCGCCAGTGTCTTCATCGGCTTCCGCGAAGGGGTCTGTGATTGAGTGTTAGCCGCCGCGTCGCAGGTCTCCGCCTTTTTTGATCGAATTTTTCCAAGCCGTGCATGGTCGTGATGCCGTCGACGAGATGCAGCGTCGGGTGGTGTATGATCTCGCATGTGCGATAGAGATACCCATCGCATGGACATCATACCACTACCCGACTCTTTTGATCGTCCCAGCATGCCATGTATGAGATAGAAACCGCGCAAACAACTCACCGAAAGACTTGAGGTTCTCGATTTGTGCGGACATAAAACGCGGCTTTTGCTCGGAGAACCGGCTTGGTTGTGGTGTGTGGAAGTTTGCAGGTGGTGGTAATATGTCGATGAGTGAGGAAGCGCAGAAAGGGTCGATAGTGAGGAGTTTGGTGGTTAATTGGAAGAAGGTGTTGTTGGTGTTTGGTGAGAGTGGAGTGGTGAGAGAGATGAGAGAGATGCAGGTGGGTAAGATAAGTGAAAGGCGCGGCTGGCCGGTTGGTGGGGCGAGGGAAAGGTGGCGCGACGACGAGTCATGCGCCCGCTGATTGATTGATTGATTGCACTGGACTGGACTGTGGGCAACTCTCGTCACTCATCATCCTTACTGCTGTCACTCACTGCTGCTAGGCCATTTCCCATTTCCCGCCCGGCGACACGCCCCGGATTCCAGATTCCAGATTGCGTGGGTGCCAAGCGAGAAGCGAGAGAGAGAGAGAGAGAGAGCGCCCTTCTGGTGTGCCGTATCGGGCTGGCTGGACTACTTGTTCCCGCGATACGCCGACGGCTCAACATTCACCGCGCCTCATTCCTCCTCATTCCTCCCCTGTCCTCACTCACTCACTCACTCACTCACTCACTCACTCACTCACTCACTCACTCACACTCCTCTCACCACGGTCTCCAATGTCATCGTCGCTCACCCAGAACTCGCCTGTCCATCTGCGTACTTGTCTACGGATGCTACCATGGTTCCGTCCCATGGCTCGAGACGCGGTGATCCGCTGGAATGACATGACAGCTCACGGCCATCTAGACCTCCAAGCGGGCATTGTATTGTTCCAAGTTATTGTCACGGTGATCCTCGATGCCATGGCTGCAAGTGTGCGTTGTGTCCCCTATCTTCTCGGTCGCGATTCACGTTCCTCCGAGGCCCTGCATCACGATCGTGGGACAGATGATTGGAGAGCTTGCGCCGCAACCCGCTCGCTCACGGGGCACCTCTGATCGGTCGGCGGCGTTTCGAGCGAAACATGATCTGGATTCGGTATACGTCTCTCCTCTACATTGCAGTCTGCCCCATCACAGACCAGGATGGTGAGGAGTGCATGTCATTTTCCATGGCTGGGGATCATCATCAGTCTCAGACTTCGTAGGTCATAGATCTTGGGAACGCGCGTGTGTGTGTATGTGGACGATAGGTCACAGCCAAAATTGGGAACACATTCATTACTCCATACAACCGATAGATCAAAGCACATCTGCGCCCCTTCCGTGCCGCTATCCATGTGCCTCGCAGGGACAGACATCCATACTCCCCTGCCAGATGCGAGCTTACGTGCTTGTGTCGAGAGAGGGAGCTTTGACGACCTTTGGGTACAGCAGCCCCGGAGTGAGCGAGGCCGCACTCGACAACTGAAACGCATCGTCTTGTCGCAGATGTGCACGTGATGACGACTCCGGCTTTCATCATTTCGCAGCACGTATCGTCATCACTCCAACCCTAACTCATGTGAACGCGGGCGTCCAATTCACACCAGGATAATATCCCTATCACGCAGGACATCTTTTCCTTTCTCGAGGATCAGAATACCGTCCTGTTCAATCTCACCCGGTCACTCGGTGGGGTTCAAACTGAAGTAGCTTCAGTCGAGCAGAGGCTTTCCTATCTTGGGTGGGCCTTACAAAACGAGAATTTACGTGAGTGTAAGAGATGAAGAGTGAGTGAGTGTTCCAGCATCACTTCCTATTCCCGGATTGATCTCGATGCCTGTAGCAAGTACATCGATATGCGCAACACTCAACTGAAGAGCAGTCTAAACAACCTCCACCAGTCCATCTCAAGCACGACAAGACGGTACACGTACAGCATGTTTGTTCTCATCCACACATGCTGCTAAATCTAAACCCAACCCTAAAACGATCCCAACCCTTAGAATACCCCAGTGGAACTTTCGTTCATTTTCCATCGGACGCCATCACATCACGTGCACGCATGTCATCCGAATCCCCCGCGCTCAACAGACTATGTCATCAGAAATCGGTATCGTACCAAGCGAACCGGCCTAGGTGTGTCTTGACAGGGAGGGCATTTCACGATCGTCATCCCTTCGCGCGCGCGCGTGTGTGGAAAGAGCACATCCGGAACTCGAGATTATTGATCCGGAATTCCCGACGATAGGGATTGTGAAAAATGATAAAAAATAAAATGATAATATACCAAAATAAGTACAACAACAAGGATCAAATACAAGAGATTCAGATCATCATCATCGAATTTTATTGCTATTAAAAAGAATTCCCCCGTCTGCGAAACGAAGGCGAACATCGAGCAGAGCATCTTTATCGAGAGATCGGAGAAATCATTCATCGATATTATTTATCATTGGTTCCGATGGAAATCCCTCCTTTTCTGCTCGAACTGCCTATTCACATGCGCATCGTCGGGCTCCAATCGATGACATATCCAGCCGGCAAGGAACGAGGCGGAGAGGAGATTGATTTTTCCCATTCGCCAGCCCTGCATGAAATTCCACAGGAATCGACCGAACTACCCAGCCACGGCCATCCAGCCTTGCCAGCGCATCATCATCCACAGAGGATGATGAAATGTCATTCATTTACCGCATCGTCCGCCCTCCTCATCATCATCTCCTCTCCCTCACCGGTCTTTGCCCCTTGCCATCGCTTCATCAGTGAAATTCCCATCTGCACTCCGTCATAGCGGCCGCGCATGCATGCATGTCCTGCTGCGAAAAAACCAGCGCCATTTCTCCCGGCTGGCTTTCACGATCGTGAGAGAGAGCGGTGCCTCTCTCTCTCTCTCCCCACCTTGCTCTGGCTGCGGCGGAAATCCGCCAGGGCTGTCGCCGACTCGGCGCATCACCGCGACGGCGGTTTCCGCGAGGGAATTCAACAAGAATCGCCCATGCTGAATGAGTCTTTTCGACGTCTTGTTCTACGGATTGCGGGGGAGCGGTCAAGGGAAAAAGTAGTCCGATCTGATAGGCACGGCGATGATGATGATGATCGTAGTCGAACAACTAGTAACTACTGGATGTAGTAGAGGCCCAGCTAGCAGCATACAGTATAGACCAAAACGAGAGAACGCTAGAGATTCCCGCCCGAGTGGAGCAAAGCCCAAAATCCCCCCCAGACAGGAGCGAGCGTCGAAAAGAAGCGGCAGGCGGGCGCGGGTGTCCCGCCCGCGAAATTGGTAAGTTTGGGTTTTGCTGCTGTTTAGTACGAAAGAGGTAACCAGCCACACGAATTCCCGCCTTTTCGGGCAAGTCAGTTTCGTCTCTCTCCCTCTCTCCCTCTAGTCCGCGGTGGTCGGCCGTAAATTGAACCCCAATGCAAATGGCCTGCACCACCACCACCATCACCGCCTGTCTCCCTCGTTCTCTCTCGTTAGACTTGGATCGTTGGCACTCGGTCGCGCACGCCGCAAACGTGTGTGATGTTGTCGTTTGTTCCAACTCGACGGGGAAAAAAATAAACTTAAGCGACCGAAGACGCTCGTATTCCAATGGGTGGACATCAGTACCTCCCTAATAACTACCTAGTAAACAACCATGAGATCATGATATACCACAGTATAATTGCAATAATAATGATAATAATATCAATACACTACCACCAAAGACGATGAACCATGATCATCACCGCCAACTGCCCTGTTGCGCCGCTAGAGTTTTGGAATAGCAACCTCCTGGGCATCGTCTCGAATTATCTCAACTGGACTGTGCCGATGTGGGCACGCTTGACTGGCATCTCTCCCTCTCTCTCTCCGCCAGTAGTAGATCTGATCCTCTCTCTGCCGCGCGCGCGCATTTCCCTCCCAGCCATCTTTTCGTTCTTTTACACGCGCAGACCCACACACCCACATACACACGAACACACACGCCGCCGCCGTGACATCCTCCGAAGCCGAACGCGCGCACTCACTTAGGTGTGCCTTCACTCACTCGCTCACACACACGCAGCAGCAGCGGCAGCAGCACATTCCCTCGAGCTGAGGCGCACTCTTTCCACGGACACGTCACATCCAACTCCCCGGCCACCTTGATAAAACTCCACCTCTCTCGATCATCCCATCCGCCAGTCTTTTAATTTAATCCTTGCGCACCAACACCACCACCGCCCGAAACCGATCGCAGCTGCCTCATCCTCTCCCCCCAGACAGACACACAGACCGACGGACGCTGTGGCCCGCTTGGATGCTCCCTGCCTCCTTCCTCACCATCCCATCTCCATGATGGCTTGGTCCGAACCGTCACTGCCACCCAATTCTTCGTTCCTCGCCATACGCGCGAGTCAGACCGTCCTCGCAGAACAACCAGGATCGTTGCAGAGGCCCTGCTGGCTATCACCCGCGACCGGTTCTTGTTGAGAGCAAAAAGTGGAAAAGCGAAAAAAAACAACCCAGGGCTGTAAAAGCTGGTCGGTACCTGAAGAGCGTACCGAGATTTTCCTTGCGCCCATCGATCGGGTTTCGACCAGTGTTCGACTTTGTGGTACTACTACATCATCATCGTCAACGGGCATTGTACGGTACCAAAGGGAATCCCTCTGCTGCCCTACCGTCCCTGCATCAGCGTCGCGTGTTTGACGGATCCGATCATCCTCGCGCGACTCTCTCCACTTGGAACGACGGATCATTCGCTCTGATCGTGGGTTGCGAGAGACTGCCTCTGCTGCAGCTCCGGCGCCGACAGCAATCCTGTCGCGCATCGCCAGCAACTTTAACGACCGAGACGACCTTTACGACCACGAGCGCTACACGACCTCGCTCATCCAGCGCCAAGAGCAGGCCTCGGCATTCCATCGCGACCTTCAACAGGAACAGTCGCGTCCCTCCTCTTCCTCGGGGAGCATCGCCGCCCAGAGCGTTCGTCGCGTGAATCGATTCGAGAAGGGCCCCTCCCGTCCAGCTCGATCCCAATCGGCCGACGCGCCGGACGTCCGCGAACCCGCCGCCGACGCATCTCGACAGCGTCAGCAGTCGCCCGAGCCGAAACCCGTCCACCGCCGCTCCCACAGCGCCTATAACGCGACTCGGAGTCCTCACCCGGCGCTCCGGATCTCGCGGAGGACCCACTCGGCCATCCTGTACGCGCTCGAGGAGGCCATCCGCAAGCCGAGGGATTTCACCCCCGACGAGGAGGAAGAGGACGCCTCCATGTCGGATCTGAGCGGTGCAAGAGCATCCAATGGCGGCGCGCGCACCACGGGGCCTGTGCCGGTGGGAGGCACGCCCGGCGGGATCAGAACCCCTCGTGATGTCATGAGGGAACGCAACGCCCGCGAGGCGCGGAGGCAAGAGGAAGAGCAGAAACGCGTGGCCGAAGAGCGGAGGAAGAGCGCCGAGCGAAGAGCAGCTGCCACGCTCGGTGCCGGAGTTCCCCGGACGAACAACAACAACAACAATACAGCAGCGCAATACAACCCAGACGCTGCCCTCTCAGCAGGCGGATTCGACGGCGCTGGCGAGCGTAAGAGCCGCGGGCCCGGTGAAGTCGCCGGCACCAATGTCCTCGGCGACCCCACCGGACGATCTTCAAATGAATTCCCAATCGGTCGAGCGCGAGGCTCGAGCGTATCACAAGATCAGCCACGACCCGCCACGAACACGGCCTCGTCACGGCGCGCCGCCAGCCAATCCGCTCCGCAGCAACCACCTGCATCATCAGCAAACGCCAATGGTGCGGCTCCAGCTTACGACAATGGATCCGGCTCACAACGCGGCACTTCATCACAGTTCCCACACGCTTTCGAACGATGGGAGACCCTCTCGTCACATTGGGAGGGAATGACTTCGTATTGGTTACATCGACTCGAGGCCAACACGGAAGAGGTTAAGAACACGATCCCCAACGCGGCCACACTGAGTAGACAGATCACCGACCTGTCCGCGGCCGGCGCCAACTTGTTCCACGCAGTGGTCGAGCTGCAGCGATTACGCGCGAGTAGTGAGCGTAAATTCCAGAGGTGGTTCTTCGACACCCGGGAACACCACGAGAAGCTCCTCGAGCAGAAGGCGGAGGTGGACCGGGAGCTCAAAGCCGAACGATCAGCACGGCAGGAAGCCACGCGGCAGCAATCGGAAGCGGCGGCGGCCGTGGAATCCGCCAGGCGTGAGGTGATGGACATGAGACGGGAGCTGGTCATCGCCAAGGACGAAGCACGGCGCGCCTGGGAAGAGCTGGGCCGGAAGAACCAGGAATCCATGGACACGGCCTACAGCCTGAAAGAAGGTCGCATCACGGTCGTGCATGGCGTGCAAGTGGTCCCCTATTTCGGCGGCCCCAGTCGGACGGCCAGCTCGGCGCCACGACCGGCCACGCGGGATGGTCCGCAGCAATATGGCAGCGTCGCCCCGGCATCGAGCGCGGGTCATGTGAGGATGCAGAGCCCCGAGGATGAACGCAACTATTACCGGGAGGTCTCCCCGACCAACACCGACCCTTTCACCGACAGCGGTCGACAACAACAACAACAACAACTACAACAGCAGCAGCAGCAGCAACAGCAGCAGCACCAACCTCTCCACCACGAACCCGGCAAGCCAGATCTGGCGCAGGCACCCTACCAGCCCTACCAGTCGATCACGCCAGCTTCGGCGCAGACGACGGTCCCGACGGCAGGTGGCCCCTATGCCGCAGAGGATACATCACCGCAGTACGCGCGCAGCAGCGGCCAAGCGCCGGTGACATCGTCCTCCGCCGTGCCGACCACCACCGCTGACGCCCAACGCTTCTACCAACATGCCGGCTCCGAGGCGTACCTCCACTCCCCCCCCGCATCTTCGGGGCACCTGCCCCCCACGGCGGCCCCCGTCTACCACCATCGCCGACAACAGCAGCAGCAGCCTGCCGAAGCGCGGTCGGAGGATAGCTACATCGACACCGCCCCAAGCGAAGACGACAACTACGACAACGAAGAAGACGACGACGACGACGACGAAACCGACGTGATCGAGTACGCCCTCGACTCCAGCGGCAACGTCCGCCACGACGACCAAGGCCGTCCCATCGTCTTCGCCAGCCGGCGCCGGCGCCGTCGCCGCCGCCACCACCAAAACGACGCCATCGACGCCGCCGCCGCCGCCGCCGCCCGCGCCCCTCCGCCCGACGTCTCCCCCATCGACGAACACCCGCGCTCCCACGGCCACGGCCACGAACTCGCCGCCCGCTACGCCGAAGCGATGATCATCCCCGAAGCGCCCTCCGTCCCCGCCACCGCCGCCCAGGCCATGGCGACCTATCCCGCCCCCGCCACCACCACCTCATCCTCCTCGTCCCACACCAGCGGCAACGCCGCCGCGGCCGCGCCCCCGGTCGACTACGAAGGCGAGGGCTACGGCGGCGCATACGGCGACGCCGCCGCAGCAGCTGCAGGCGACCGCGGCCCCGCCCATCACTACCCCACGCGCCTCAGCGACGTCCTCGAGGAGGAGGAGGAGCGCAGCAGTCGCCGCACCGTCGACTAGACTAGGACCGCCGGCCGCAGCCGGGGAGGGTCCGGCACCCGGCAATCGCAATGGCATGGCATCTCGTCGAAACTTTGCTCGCTCGCTCGCTTGGCTGCACTGGGCCGGGACTTTGTACGTGCCGGTGACGGTGCGTGGGGGAATAATGGCAGGGCAGGGCGGGGCAAGGCAGGGCAGACAGCGAGCGAGCGAGCGAGCGAAACACACACACAGAGAGAGAGAGAGAGAGCCCAACCTATCCACCTGTACGGCATATCATACACGTGGCAAGGGCTCGCACGCGAAACCCCAACCCCAACCGAAACCCCAACCCAAACTGTAATTGCAACTGCAACCGAGCATCTGCTTATCAGGTATGATTCCGAGCCGTCGGGCTGGATATAGAGAGAGGTGGGAGGTACGCGTGCATGCATATGTGTTTTCTGTCCAGTGTACGCGTTTCATCGTCGAGTTTTTTATTTTCCCCTTTTTTGGCGTGCGGGCGGGCGGGCGCGCGTACTTGTTTCTCTATGTATTAGCGTTCTATCGTCTATTGTTCGTTCTTCTGATCATCCCATCGGCGTTCTGCTTTTGCTTTTGCATTTCGTTCCGTTTCGTTTCTTTGTCTTTGTCATTGTCGTTGTCATTGTCGTTGTCATCGTTGCTGTCGCTGTTGTCATTGTTGCTGCTATCACGAATAGGCGGGCAAAGTAGGCAAGGCAAGGCAAGGCAAGGCAAGGCAAGGCAGGGACGGATGGATTTATATGTTTGTTTCCTTTTGTTCCTTTTCTTTCTGTTCTTTCTCGGCTCTCAGCGAAACAGCGAACAGCGTGCAGCGAAGAGAGAGACGCGATCATCATCATTCCAGATCGTCGGATTCAGGGCCGTCAAATGTATTCAAATGGCATCACGACGCTTTTTTCATTTTTTCCCCTTTGTTTCCTCCCGGAAATAAATCCCTTCCTCCTGTTCCCTGCTCTCCTCTTCCTACTGTTCAGTTCAGTTCAGTTCAGATCAATTCAGTTCAGTTCAGGTCAGTTCAGATCAATTCAGTTCAGATCAGATCAGTTCAGATCAGTTTAGATCAATTCAGTTCAGGTCAGATAAGATCAGATCAGGTCAGATCAGGTCAGGTCAGATCGTTCTCCGCCGAGAGCCGAGCCTGGATGTAGTTTATACAAACCGTATTTCCACCACCGATCAGTAGCACTGTACTTCCTCCCCGGTGTCAATCATACCCTAATTTCAATCCTCTCTTCTAAGCGAGAGCAGAGAGAGCGGCTCGCGCTCGATTCCATTTCTGGATCGTGAGAGATCGCGCGCGCGGCGAAATGCGAGAGGCGTTCTCGTTCCGTTTCTTTGGCGGCGGCGGCGGCGTTTCCTGTGGCTTGGCTTCTCGAAGGGCGTGATGTTGGTCCGAGATGTGTGGCTGTTGGAGGTATCCAGGTCACGTGTGGCGTCTAGGGCTCACCTCTCATCTCTCTCTCTCTCTCTCTCTCTCTCTCGCGTGTTATTATTCCCTGTAGGCGCTCATTTCTTATTTATACGGGCGCGGACTGTGGCTTGCAGGCGGCATCAACCACACATTCTGCTACACATCACTTTCCCTCTCTCATTGTGCTTGCACAGGCAATTTCTCCGGGGCCGAGAATTACCCCTTCGACTGCTTCGGACGCTTTCTTCCCTTCACGCTGTGGTTTGCATCGTGGCTTGCGGTCGAGGCGTACCGGGTCATTTCATTTGGCAGTACCGCCTTCTAGGGCTGGCATCTCCGGTGTGGAATGGTCGGAGCAGGACGCCCCACGGCGGCGCCATGTCCGTGCCCTTTGATTTCTTCACATCAGGAGATATATAACAGCATTCGCTGGCCCATTCTCTCGCATGGCGGAGGGAAGAGGTTCGGGGAGCCAACGAAAACAACAAAAACGTGCTCCGTCTCGGCGCTTCTCGTTGGTTGGGAATCGCCGACTTTTTATTATGCATTCGTTCGATGGGCAGCCACGGTTGTTGTGCTCATGAGTACATACATGGGTCACATACAGACATCTGGGGGGGGGGGCGGTCGTCGTATATGCGGAGTCATCATCCATCACATCACACCCCTCGCGACACTCCCATACATAGACACAGCACACACACTGTCCTTCTCCGGACGAGGATATATGCTTTCCACTTGTTGCTGTACTCCGCAACTGGGGAGACACGAGGCGAGAGAGAAGGCGAGGAGATGGAGTGCAGAAGCTTTCCCACCGGCTTTCACGCCAGTCGCTGTAGAGCAAACGCTGTTTTTGTTCCCATACACACACACATTTCGCCTGTAGACTCTTCTGCCCTTCTCGCTTCCCCGAAAGTTTATTCGCTCCTCGAGCCGTATATCGCGCGCTCTCTCTCTGTCTGTCAGCGTTGGGAGAAACTCGCGGAGAAACTCGTGGAGAAACTAGCGAGGGAACCGTTCATCAGTCCGTCTCGTCCCTGCGGAAAAACCTGGAGTCAGAGTTTCGCCGTCCGTTCCCTTTGGGACGGAACGGAAAACGGATCCACTATTCGTCGTGTTGTTTCTCTCCGTAGACTGCTCCGAATCAACGCTACGTCTATTTCGTGACGTGGTTCTACATGTATCTAGTGGATTGGATTTGTTCGGAACTACAGTCCTCTATCATGATTCATCAGTCTCTTCTCGCAGAAGGGCTCCCTCCCGAGACATGAACTATTTGACCCTGTTTTTGACCGAGATTTTATTTTTATTTTTATTCTGGGTGTTTGTTGAATACGGGTCCGCGTCAGGGGAGGAGCGGAGAGAGGGAAGGGAAACAATAGCAATAATAGTGATGTCTTACGCGCGGCGACAACGACGACGACGACAACGACACGGATTGAGCGATATTCGTCATCGCTACCATTTCCCCTCTCCTCTCCTCTCGTTCCTCGCGCCCTCATCAAGCGATACTCGTCGTCGCCAGATCACGAAACACATTCATGAACACAGAGACACAGAGACACAGACACACGCAGACACAGACACTCACACCACCACCACCACCATTACGCCGTAAATGGAAAAGAGACAGACGGGAGGTGGAGTGATCTCTCCGGGAGAATTCTGCATGGAACACGCGCCGGCCCGCTGTTGTCTCTTCGTGATTCCAATTCAAGGTTTTTTGGGGCCAGGTACAACACACAACACACAACACACACACACACACACACACATATGCAGTCACAGTCACAGTCCAGGCCCCCTCCTCGCGTCCCGTTTGGGCGGCACCCACACCCACACCACACCGCACCACACCATCCTCTCTCTACCTCGACACCTGAGCGAGCGATGAGAACGAGAGAGCGATCTAAACTCCTTCCCGCGCGCCTGGGCATCCTGTCTAGACGATTGATTGATTGATTGATTGATTGACAGGGATTTGGTTTACACGTGTATTCATGCGCATGTGTATATGTACATGTAATCTTTTTTCTTTTCTTTCTTTCCGTTCTTGGCTGCTGACATGCCCAGCGACGACCCGTTCTCGAACAGCAGGTGCCCAGGGATCCAAGCTCCTAATAGGAATAATAAGAATAGCACCTGCAATATCGATAATAATAAGCCTCGCGGATCTAGTCCACACACACACTCACGCACATGGAGGGGTCTGGACCCAGTCCCATCAATTGCATACTGCGCACTGCACCAATTATCCCGCACCGGGCACGAGGTAGGTGAACTCGCGGAAGGAACAGGAAGGAATTCCGTCCTTTTCCCTTTGTTTTATTAAGGATCGTAGCGTGTGTGTTTTGCTTATCGCTGGTCGCTAGTATCGTGTAGTATAGTTTTGACAGGACGGACGAACGAACAAACGAACGAACGAGAACAGGGAAGTAACTACTCTTGATAAGAATTTTTATGTCTCGTCAACTGGACACTGTTTCTCTTTGGTGCGCGCGCACTTCCGTATGGATCCACAGAGACTACTGCATCATCTATCATCTATCCTCATGTGAGTGAGGGATTTCCCTTGCACTTCTTCACACACACGCGCGCAGGGTTGCGGTGAGGGAGGAAGAGTCGCTGAGGATTTGCGCGCGCATATTCGACTCATCATCGTGATGGCATGCATATATGTATGGATGCGGTCTGTCCGTGTCATCGCAGCAGCAGCGGGAACAACACGTCATGCCCACCCACTCATCCCCGAGAGAGACAGAGGGAAGGTCCATGCAGTGAATGAATACATCATGCGAGCGAGGATGTATGTCCAGTACAGTAATGAGAAAGAATATTGCCAAGAGGAAATGAGGGTGTGATGACAACAGGAACGACGAGGCGGTTCAGTACTATGATGGGAGGTGATTGAGGTCTCAAAGCTGCTGCTGGTGAGGAGGGAATTTCACATGTCTCTCTCTCTCTCTCTCTGTCCCCCTCTGACTGTGACTGTGCCGCGCGCGAGAGCATTCCAAATCTCCACCAATCAATCCCGCTTCCGGAGATACGAAGAGAACAGCGATGCAGTCATGGACTCACCCAATTCGTACAGGTTACTGTATTCGCAGCACGTGTGTGTGTGTGTGTGTGTGAGAGAGAGAGAGAGCAGAGCCAACATTGATGTACAACACAATCCAGTGCACATCGTATGAACGAAGACGGGCTTTCGGCATTTCTCGTCGAGTTTCTCCCGGTGTGCGACTTCGTTCGTTTGTTCGGTCGGTACACACTAGACCATATATTATCATCGACGACGACGACGAACCTGTTCTACAGAAACACACCATCGTTCGCGATCATCATTAGACCGGTTTCTCAAGGTTTGTGTCGGCCGGCTCCGATGAGGGTCGAAGATCTCGCCGCCTCGATGCAAGCCGGCGATCATGTCGACGAGAAAGGCCGGGAATGGACGACGGCGCGCGGGCGCGCGGTCAGGGTGTGTTTCGTGATTCCAAGAGGCAGTAGCTCCAAGAGGTTGTCGTGCAAAATGTCCACAATCCCAATTTCTACGGCGGCGTCCGTCACCTCGAGAGAACAATTAAAGAATTAGCTATATATCACCCCCCACCACACATGGCACCGATCGACACGATCATCAGGTACGCGACACACAGTAGTCGGAGCACCCTTGTCCACCAATCCCCCACCACCGCTCTCCAAGCTCGTGGGTCGTTGACATGCGTTCGCAAAGGGACGATCGCGATGATCATGCCATGCCATGCCGCTCACGTTCATGCAAATCGCTGCGATCACCGCATGTGCAGACATGCATACCGAGGGAAGTCTTCCAGAACAACGACGGCCTGAGATTGCGGCGTCCGTCGGGCTCGCCGAACCGTTTCCCCCCCCCTCTCTCTCTCTCTCTCTCGCTCGCAAAAAAACAAAAAGCCTCCACCGATTCCCTTTTTGTCAATTCAGATCATGGCTGTTGTACCCATGTTTTATGAGCAAGCCAACAAAAACGCCAGGCCGCGTCCTTGGGGGGTGACATTGGGCGCTGCCCATCTATGTTATTGTTATCGTGTGGACGGCCGGTGGCTGACGACTTATTGCACCTCACGATACAGCACGTGATCGACTGTGTATGGCTGCAGAACAGATCGGGGAGGGCTTAGCATGGTCGCTGCAGTGTGTCGGTTTAGGTCTGTAGTGGACCACCTTTTCCACGAGAGGCCCAGCTAGTGTCGGCTGCAAAGTCGATTCCGGTGAGTGAGAGAGAAATACAGTAGAGAAACACGAATGGTGCCGCCGCCGCCGCTGCCGCCCTATGCTCGGCCTGCCGCTCCATGGCGACGAACGAACGAACGAACAGGTTTGGTTCTAGAGTGAGAGGCCAGGCGGCTCCATGACATCCACTGGAACACGGACGGTGCTTGGCAGATCGTGTGGGAACCCATCACAGCACAACACATACACATACACACACACACCCCGGCGATTAAGCGAAGAGAGGAAATGAATCTGCCTACAGGTTTATCATCATGCGAGGCGAAAAGCCAAAATTAAAAAAAAATAGAGGCGCCACCGCTGCTGCCGCTGCTGCTGCTGTTGCCAATCTCGTCGAATGCGCCGAGATGCACCGAATACGGGAGACAAGAATGTGGCTTTTCTCCCGATGCGGTAGTCGTCGTCGTCGTCGAAGAGATCGTGTCGCCCTGGTCTGGTCTTTGTCTCGCGCCCCGAACCACTAGGAATGTCGAGGGACCTCTCGGGCGGGAAGGAGGCGGCGGGCGGGACCTGAACGCGCCCGTTTTCTCACTCCACTCCCCCCCAAAAGTCATGTCCGCCTAGGCCGGAAATAGCTTTTCCTCTCACACACACACACACACACTCTCTCTCTCACCTGAGCACCACCCATCAAATCACTGTAAGAATTCAATAGAAATGGGCCCTGGTCAGTGAGAGGAGCAGTAATGCACCGCTCCAGCACACCGCAGGCACAGACGGCACAGCACATACCTCCACTGGCGTGACTGACACCCTCGCCCGAGAGAGCATAGCGCGGTGCGGGTGTGTTCGGGCGCGTCCGTGTTCTGTCTCTGGGCATCACCTCATCACTCACCAGCTGCATCATCATCTCCTTATCGTCGTCGTCGCCCTCGCCGTCGTCAGGCGTGTTGCGCACCGACCCGGCAGCGACCAACACGCGCCGTTTCTGCCACGAGAGCTCCACGAGAACGCCATGTCGCCTGGCGCGAGGCTTGCTGCGGGTCGGTGTGGTCTGCGCTGCGTCTGGCTGCACTTGGCCACTCTACTACACCATCTCCCTTCGGCTTGACCTGATCGCCTTTGGGGTCTGTCGCGCTCACATCATCACCGCCCAACGATCCTTGGGGAGATCGTGTGGACGTCGCGTGGCTTGCGCAGAGGCGCCATCTCTTCGCTCTGCCCCGGCCAGTCCGGTCGCATCCACGCGAGATTTCCAAGGTGGTGCGGACTAGATGAGATGCCTCTCGGCAAATGGCGCGGTCTCGCCGAAGTTTATTGTGAATCTCAGATCGGAGCAGCCAAGTCAAGTGTCAGGAGACTGTCTGAGAAACGAGAGGGTCAGAGCATGTGGGAATGGCATATATCTATCGGGTCCAACACCCCGAGAAAACAATTCCTGATTCAGACCATCTCATCCACCTCGCCATTCCATCGTCCAACGACATCTCCTCTACCTGCTCTACCGACCGACTCACCTTCACATCGCCAACATGGTCCGCCTCGCTCTCTTCGCCTCTGCCGTCGTCGGCTTGGTCGCCGCCCAGGGCTCTGCCGATGCTCCCGACGCTCTCCCCATTGACGACCTGGCCTCCGTCGAGGTTCCTACCTACACCATCCCGGCTGGCCTCGACTCCGACTTTGTTCCCTACGCCTCCGAGACTGCCATCGCCGCCGCTGCCGCCGATGTCACCGCCGACCCCTTGACCGTCTTCGTGAGTGGATCGCGTTCCCGCCTGTGACCCTACCGAGGACTGCTCGCTGACATTTCTTCTTCCCGACAGCCTGCCGCCACTGATGTCCCGATCAACTCCGCTGGCGAGGACAGCAGCGCTCCCTCCAAGCGCAACATCGGTTTCGAGCGCCGCGCCGCCTGCGCCGCCCAAGCCACCATCCCCAACTACTACGGCGTCGACGTCTCCAGCTACGCCAACTTCAAGGCCGATTCCAAGATCGCCTCCACCGCCCTCAACGCCGCCACCCCGGCCGGCTACTTGAACAACTTCAAGAACGCCCCGGGCGCCAACAACGCCTACGCCTACCTGGGTTACGCCGTCGTCAACAAGGGCCGCACCGGCTACGACACCCAATGGTGTGCCAACAAGTGCAGCTCCATCAGCGGCTGCCTTTCTTTCAACATCTACTTCGAGCGCGATCCCATCATCGAGCCGGGCACCGGCTGCCGCAACCCTGATGCCTTTGCCAACATCAAGTGCTCCTTCTGGGGTACCGGCCTCGACAGCAAGACCGCCGTCAACTACGGCCAATGGCAGGCCGACTTCCAGGTCGCTGTCGCCGGTTCCAACGCCTACACCAGCGCGACCCTCGGTGGCCCCGTCGGCCCCTACACCACCGTCCAGAAGCTCGACACCGCCATCGTGAACGCCCCCCTCCGCGACTGCACCAACACCTGGTCCTACCTCGGCTACAAGCTCTACCAGTCCGGCCCTTACGACCCCAGCCTCTGCGCCGCCGCTTGCGACACCCAGGTAAGCTCTACTCCCGAGACTTCATCACGTCTGATAAAGAAAAGCTCGCTCCTTTGAAGAACGTCCGTATGCTAACCACCTTCTCCCTACAGACCGAGTACAACGCCGAGCACCCCGCCTCCGGCAAGGCCCCCGTCGTCTGCTCCGGCTTCGGCTCCTACATCCTCACCATGACCAACAAGACCGCCTCCTACCAGCAGGGCCAGATGTGCACCCTCTACACCGTCAACGTCGACAAGCAGTACGCCGTCAACAAGGTCGCCTACAACGACGGCATCGGCGCCAAGTACACCTACAGCCTGAGCTACTTCTACTCCCGCGCCGACCGCCAGCCCGTCTGCGGCCAGTAGATGCTTTTTTCTTTTTCGCCCTCTGCTTGTAAATCAACCCTGGGGCATGGGTTTTCTGCTTTGACCTGCAGGCGTTGGGATGGAAAACGTTATATATATATATATATACATCGATATCGCTCGGGGCCATGGTTTCGTCTGCTTGATTTCCGCCGCCGCCGCCGCGCGCCGTCCGCTCTGTGCTTATGAAATATCTCTCGAAAATGGCATTCATGATCTTCTTTTTCAATTTCTCTTCCCTTCCCTTCCTCCTGGCTTACAGCGCTCACTCTTTCGTCCTGCTCCGTTCAACTTCCTCCCTCCCTCCCGATCGAAAATACCATCCGACCGAACCCGTGCTACGACGCGCGCTCTCTCTCTCTCCGCTTGGGCTCCGCCCGACTCATTCCTCCATTCCTTCCCGTTTTCCAAAACAAGGGTCCACTCCACACACCACTCCACCACACCACGTCACACGAGGTCTGAGACACGATGTGTCGGTTTTCTTTTCCCACCGCAGAAGCCCGCTTCCCAACGAAACTTTTCTTTTGTCATTGTTTTGGGTGTTCCCCCCCCCCTCCTCCTCCTCCTTCTTCCGCGCGTCATGGTCTGGGAAATTGCGAGTCGAGAGCGGGACGGGACGAGGCTTGGGAGAGTGAGAGGGTGATCTACTTTCTTGTGGCGCGTATCCAGCGCCGTGTTGTGCTGCTCGAGAAGGGGCACATGTACGCGTCGGATATACAAAACGCGCGACTTCGTTTGTCCGCGGATTCCTGATCACCGTACCGTTCGCACGTGATCGGAATCCGGCCGCGTCACAACGTGGTGTTCACTCGACAGATTTTTGGTCATGCGACTGTAATATCGTATATTCATCATAACTAAAAAGAAGAATGCGCGGCCGTTACATTGCTCCAGAGGTCTTCCCATCGCCTCAGATCGGCGAGGATCTCCCCGGGAATCGCTTCTTCCAAGCCGGTCCCCAGTACCACAGGAACGGAATTAATGTCACAAACAGGCCCATGGGGGCCGCGTAGATCAAGAAGGACTTGAAATAGCCGAACTCGATGATCCACTCCGCGATGCGGAAGGACAAGAGGAACGCGACGATGTAGCGGATCGACGCGATGTTGAGGAGCGCCGCTCCCGCCATCTCCGGGTACACCTCCAACACGTAGACGGCGCCCACGGTGTTGCAGCCGAGGAACCCAAAGGTCATCAGTCCGAGACCCGCGAGGAACATCGGCCACGGGTATTTGGACGGGTTGTTGCCCGCGATCCCGAACAGGAAGAGGCCGGTCATGCCGCCGCAGCAAGGCAGGATGAGGTTCAGAAGTTGGTCTTCGGGCGTGCGCTTGCCGCCGGGGCGTCGCGCTGCACCCCAGTTGCAGACCATGTCGGCGAATTTGCCCGTCACGAGCACGGTCCCGAAGGCGGCCAGGAGGACGGGGATCAGACATAATGTGACCGAGGAGAACGGCCATCTGTGCCAAAACAGTCAGCGATCGGGTCTCCAACGCACGGGATCGGTCCCTGGCTCCGCAGATACATACGCCCATGGCTCGACGAGCAGAGGTTCCGCGACGGTGTAGCCCGCCGCGAACGACGACGCGATCATCGCGCTGTTGAGGAGCGTGATGAAGAGGATCTGTGGGTAGTACAGGGTGTGCATGGCGCTGACGAACACGTTCCACCCGGCTCGCCATTCCGCCGGCCCACTGAAGATCTGGAGATCGTAGCGCAGATTCCGCGGCGCGTACGTTCGGTTGGTCTCGTCTCGGGGGACACCGTCTGCCGTTGAATTAGCATCTCACAGTCATATCCCGCTTCGGCATGCACGACACTTACGGATCTCGGAGGCCGTGCGCTTCCATCGTGTCTCCGGCAAGAACGCCAAGACGCCGACCATGAAGACCGATGCGCCGATCCCGGTGATGAAGTAGAGCCATCGCCAGCTCAGGTTGATGATCACCCAGGGCGTGGCGAAGCCGAGAGCCACGATGATGAGACCTTGCGTGGCGAAGACAAACGACATCCACGTGTTGCGCTCGTGCGAGAACGTGAGGTCGGCGATCACAAACGGGATCAAGCTCTCCACCGTCCCCGCGCCGACGGCCTGCAGACAACGCGCCGCAAGATGGGAATCGAGGGACTGCGAATTGCCAGACCAAACGCATCCTGCAACGGCCAAGACGCCGCAGCCGATGATCACGGGCCGTCTGCCGACCGCAGTCGCGAGCGGGATCATGGCGAGGTTGGCCAGTCCGATCATCAGCACCGGCAGGGAACCGAGCAGGTAGGTCTTCCAGATCGGCGGGCCCGGCAGGTATGACAACAACGACAGGGGGTTCGTTCCCTCCGGCAGCGGTACCCTCGTGAACGCCTCGATGTTCCTCGAATCCAGACCGGCATACTCAATGACGAAAACGGGCAACATGGCGCCCAGAATCAACTCCGCCGCCGCCGCCATGGCGCCGAAAAAGCACAGGAATACCACGGCGATGATCTTGCGCTTTTTGCTCAGATTCAGCGGATCGCGGGGGTCGAGCGTTGCTGCGGGCGTCACCAGCTTCTCGTGGCTCTTCACTCGTCCCAGAGATTCCTGATCGATCAGTTCCATCTGTGACATGCCGGTGTCGAAACGCTCCACCGCGGGGCCGTGGGACTCGTGCGTGTTCATCCGGCTCATCGCGCTGGCGTCCTTCTCGTCGTCGAAGGACGAGACGTGCCGCACCACGGGCGCTCGGCCTCGGACCTTGTTCTCTTCCATGATTGTGGGATCTGTCGCAAGCTGGGTGAGGGAAGAGGCAGGTTGGACGCAAGAGGCAAGGACAACGACGACAGGATCAGATCACAGGGAAACCATCTTCATGATATAGACTGTGCAGATAAAGCGCTATTCTGGACCCCACCTCCCAGCTCGTCTCTACTGCAGTGCAAAGAATGGAACCCACACTTGGCCCTGTAGACTAAAGCTTCGGCATTGCCAGGTTCTCCGCATCCAGGAACGCGAATGTGATCATCGCGACGCAGACGGTTCCTGGCAGCTTGTCACGCTTGTGCCGTTGAAACAGGGTGGATCTGCATGCACACCACGCACGTCCTTAGTCCATCAGACTATGCCCCCAGATCCGGGGGCGAGCAACAGAACGCGCGGAGTTCCGCCAAGCGTTCGCGCGCAGCTTCGTACATCGTTTGCCCATTGGCATCTGTGTTTTTGCGGGGTTGGCGGCGGAAAAATGTCCACCTCGGCTGGCTGGCTGGCGATGATGAAGAAGCACCTACCACCGGATTGCAGACCGTTTCGTCATCGTCGCCTCCCCTCCCGGTGGAGTCCACAGTGCAGTAATGTACCAGTATCATTATTATACCGCTCGACCTCCTGCCCGGTCTGGAATCGGTTTTTCCAACGGAGCTATCCATCGGCCAAATCATCTGCCGAGCCGCCGACCGACCTATGTAATGATTTGCAACCCTCGCTCGATCCAGTGGACATGTTCACCTCAAGGGCTCTCGAAATGGAAATACACATGTCCGTATTTGATGCGAGCCGAGGGAGTGATCTGCATCTTGACAGTTGACTACTCTGTTTCCGGCGCCTTTATGTACGTTGAACCTGGACGATCACTGCCTGTGACGATTTTCACACTCCGTGGCGTCTTTCCAGTCATGGCCGTGACGTCCTGATCTCCGGTGGAACGGTGGTCCTCTCTCCTCGAGTTGCGTGCCATGATTGGCAGACCAGTTGCCACGGATTTCATTCTCCAATAAACTCATTTACCCGCATATCCGCCGTTGCCTCTGCGCTTTGCTCGCATGAAACATGGCAGTCCAATTTCTCGTCGAGAAGAATTGAATTCATGATGATGTTTGCCGTGTCTGAATATCTCTTCATCACATCACTTTCTCCAAACAGCTCTCCTCGCTGCAACTTGCATTCTCGCAAAGTGACCCCGAACCGGGCGGCCGGTGCGCCCGGCTGGTACTTGGATGGCTTATCACTGTCAAGAGCGCATGTCTACCACGGGACGAGCTCATGATCATCACGCTGTCGTGCATTATCCTCTCGTCAGCTCGAAAATACATGCATGCCGCGCAGGAAGACGCAAGACGTTGAACGTGTTCTTTGCCTCGGCCTAGACCAGCAAGCCCTTGCCCTTGTTTCTTGCCCTTCTTGCCCTTCTTCTTCTTCCTCCTCTTCTGCAACCTCATGCGAAATCTTTCGTGTCACAATACACGGTTCCGGCTTATATAGAGCACGTGCTCCGCCGTTGTTGGCGAACTGCTGGAGAGGCCTTGGATGTAAGCTCGGACATGGACGGGCTTGCCATTCATCCACTCATCCGTTCATTAGATGAGGGTCTTTCTATTCTGCACTTCACGACCGATTGGCCTGTCCGGCATGCTCAGCTTCGCGATAGCGGTACCGTAAAAGCTTATGCAGCAACCCCGCCTAGAGGTTTCGTTGAGTTCTTGACGTCGCCAAGCAACAAATGAGCAGACTTGCGTCCGAAGCTCCGATCGCTATGATTCTTGATGACAGGAGCGAACGTTGGTGCCGATTTGCCCCGATATTGGTTTATTCGAGGCCATTAATACCTATGCAGACCCCATGTTCGTCGAGGGACAGGAATCCATCTGGAACTAGTCAGGAGCCGAGGAATGAAAGCCTGGCTTGCAGCTCCATGTCGAGACTAATGAACGTCAGCATAGGCTCTCTTCGTTTGAGAACGGCAAGATTACCATCGGTCTTGGCGCTTCTGGAACTAGCAAGGAAACCCGCGAGAAAGCTCCACACTGCAGAGCTATACACTGCGCGAATCTGCTCTCGGGCTATCTCAGATTACACCAAACCATCTGGATTGTACATCGATCTGATTCCAGTCGTCATGACTTCGGGGGTGTCTCCCTGCCGCAAGGGTAATTAGTCTTCACGTCCTGCGTCTCTCCTCATCGGCGCCCGACTTACGTCCAGAGTTCCATCGACATCCACTCTTCCTGCCCCGAAGATGGCCTCGCCTCTCGGCCTGGGTAGAAAATGAAGCTCATATCCAAACACTACTGTGACTTGATCTCCTACACCGTCGGTTGACGGACCGACAGAGAGTAAACCATCACTTGTGTCATATATGCTTTTGCACTACAGCACCATTTTCGCGCGCGTAAGAAAGTCCGTGACAGGTTCTCCCCGCTGATCGGACGATATGTCCAAATGCGATGCCTTGTCCAAGCGCGATGCCTTGTCCAAGCCTCAAGCTATCCAAATTTCCTGACACTCCTAGAGAAAATCCAGACAGCTGGAGTGGAGTCTGTGCTCCCGTTCAAAATAACTGCGCGCGAGTGAATGGCCGTTTTGCGCGATGAGGGCTTTGCCCGGTAAGTCGACGGCATTGTCATGGTTTTTGCAATTTTGCACACCAGTGCCACACTCGGTAGATGAAAAGAGCCATCCCCTCGACGTTATGCAGCTTGGACTCGATCAAAACGCCTAATAGCTGACTCGCATTAGCCACTGCGAGGCCTTCGACTCTGAGAACCCGTGGAGCTGTCGAGGCATCGAGACATAGCTTGCGCTTGTTATTGTATTCGTTGCCTGAAAAGTCGCGGATGCCCTTTGACAGGATCGTCGATCTAGCATCGAATTGAGGAACCCGTGATGGGCATTCATCGATGAAGCCTATGACCTCAGCGAAGTCGGAGTTGAATACGGGCAGTCGGAGGATATTCAGTCGCTTGAAAGATTGTATCGCCTTTCGAATCGCAGCAGTGTATTAGCGTTTGTCGATTGGTTGTGATCTGTTTCGACAAGAGAAGCTGGAGTTTCCGGGATTGTCGTCTCGTCGGAGGGAAATGTCAACTCGCCGGGAAGAGGAAAGATTTCGTCCTTGGGCTCGGTCGCGTCCAAGTGGACACTCGATACCATGAATCTGATCTCACAGCGCAGTTACGCCTGAGCTTCTTAGCAATGGTGCGATTTTAAAGCCCGCGTATGTTGTCGCTTGTACAGGTCTCATACCCACGACGTATCACTCAGTCGATAGCCAGGTCGAAGTCGTCCCAATGAATGAGGTGGTTCCCGTAGAGGCAGCTGGGTCGCTGCTGGAGAACAATCGTCTGAAAGCCTCATGACAATGAACGTGACAAGTTGCTTGCCCATTGCGCTCATGTGATAAAGCGCCAGTACTGTACCATCGGCCAGAGCTGTTGGATACATAATTTTTTGCCCTCCGAATTCTCTTTGGTCTTCTGTGCGGACATTGGCCAAATCAGACGGGATGTTTCGATCACTCATCAAATAGTGGTCTTCACTGATGACTAATGCATCATACACCTTCCATCCGACTCGAATAGTAGGACCAAAATGGACGTCGTTTTTGTTGAGCTGTCGGAGCGGCCGTCCGATCTGACCAACATCTATTCGAACATGGTACCAAGAAACCCAGGGACGTGTGCAGTCGCGGAGCTCGTCCGCTCACTTAACATTATAGCAGGTACGTGACGCCTCGGTCCAGCCTTCATAAAACAGGCAAAGAGGAATAAGACAGGTAGGATAAAACCCACCGTCTATCTAAATGATCAATCTAACCAACATATTGCGATAGACGTGAGCATCTTCAGCTGGGCGGCCTGAGACTTCAGAGACAGTATAGTGGAGATAATCCGTCTTCAACCCTAGAATACGTACCCCTGGGGTTAAATCTCATCACGTGCGCCTTCAACCTCATCCCGCGCCAATATTCTTTCAAGCAAGCTTTGTGGCGGGCGATCGGTCCTTCCACCCGGCTTTGATTACCTAGGTACTGATGTTTTTATTGTTATGATGATGATAACGGTATTCACACCAAGGTGAACAACAGTTGAACGCGCTCCCCGGCAAATACATCCCTGCTATGAGAGAAGGATCTCAACCGCATGTTGAGGTGGGTGTGAATTAAATCCCTCATCTGAGTAGAGCTCCACCATTGGAAGCAATTGGCAAATTCGTACTCGTTACTCAGAAAACCCTCCGAACCAGGGCTTGGAGTCGGACCTCCTCCCTGTAGTGGGATGATAATAGGAACAGCAACGTAAAGGACGGGCAGGTCCTTCATATCGGCATCTGCACGTATGTGTATGCATGCCGGTGACGACCAACGACGGGCCGCATTAATTTAACTTCGGGACAATGCCGACGTGCGGCGCAGCAGGTTGCATGTCAGATTTGAAAGTGGTTGAAGCACTCTCGGTGGGTTTCCTCATCAAGTCCTTCTCACGGGCACGTGTATGCGTGTATGGAGGGATGTTGGGTCGTTTGCATCCCACCCGCCGGTGGGTGGTATGTCGTAGTCCTCACCACAAAGCTGGCGCTCGAGCACAACACCGCCTTCGCGACAAGGCATTTGCGTTCTCAGAAGAATTTCTGATCGGCAAATTCTTGTCACCACATTGATGCCGCTTACCTCACGGCTCAAATCAGACAGCAACAAGAAAAATGGCCTCGTCGGATCCTCCGGCTCAGCCACAGGAGGCCCTTTCAACTGTCCGTCGAAGCTTATTGTACACGGCTTTGGGACTGGCAGTTTTTTGCCAGGCTCTGGATAACACCATCATCGCGACGGCGATTCCGCGAATCACAGATGAGTTTCAATCTCTCAACGATGTTGGTTGGTGGGTGTGCCGTGTTTGCGCAGAAGCCGCCCCATGTACACGTAAGTGGCCAGGAGTTCAAACTTACTGATCCATGTTTGCATTCACAGGTACGGTGCTGGATACCTGGTAGCTTGTTGTGCTTTGCAGCTCTCCTTCGGCAAGCTCTACAACCTCTTCCCGACCAAATGGGTCTTCCTTTCCTCCCTGGGTGTGTTCGAGCTCGGGAGTCTGGTATGCGCCGTGACTCCCAGCTCGATCGGTCTGATCATGGGTCGAGTCATCGCCGGCGCAGGGTCGGGCGGAATTTTTGCTGGAGCAATCCTCACCATCGCTGCCACGACGCCGCTCGCGCAACGGTCCATCTACAATGGAATGCTCGGAGCCATCTATGCCCTGGCAAGCATCGTAGGACCGTTGATGGGCGGCGCATTCACAGCTCTTGTTACCTGGCGCCTCTGCTTCTACATTAATCTGCCCATCGGGTTCTTCACGGCTATATGTGTCTTCATCTTCCTCGACACGAAAGTGGGCCACAAGCCCGAATTTGACCTTCGACTTGGCGAGAAGCTGAAGCAATTCGACCTTCTGGGAATGGCGGCTTTCATCCCGTTCATCGTGTGCCTGTTGCTTGCTTTACAATGGGGTGGCTCGACATTTCCCTGGTCGGACGGACGCATCATCGCTCTCTTGGTCCTCGCGGGCGTGCTGCTGATTGCCTTTGCGGTGATCGAGATCCGGCAAGGAGACAAGGCCACAGTGCCGCCCAGCGTCGCTCGGAATCGCACAGTCTGGTCAAGTGCGCTATACATGTTTTTGCTTTTTGGCTCCTACATCGCTATTATTTACTACTTGCCGATCTGGTTGCAGGCCATCCTCGCCCTCTCGCCAGTCCAAAGCGGCATCGATCTTCTTCCATTGATTCTCCCGACGGTGGTATTTGCCATCATTGCAGGAGGCCTGGTGGCATGGACTGGCTATTACACGTGGACTTGTATCCTCTCCAGTATACTGGCAACAGCGGTGCGGCAAAGCATATGCGCAAGCGACGAATTTAGCTAACATCATTTTTGCAAGGGGGCCGCACTTCTCTCGACTCTACAACCCTCAACGAGCATGCCGCGATGGATCGGATACCAGATTCTTTATGGTGTCGGAGCAGGATTGGTGAGTCTATACAAATCTCGGTCAAATCGGACAAGGCATTCCGACAGCTCAACAAAGACGATGTAATTCGACCTTGCTGTATAATGCGCCCAGCGTGTTAGTCATCAGCGAAGTTCAATACCTGATGAGTCCTCGTGATGCGCCCCGTCCGATTTGACCGATGCCTGTACCTGTGCTATACATGAAGTCGGTCGGCTAAAGTATGACCATTTTCACAGGGACTCCAACAACCTCTAGTCGCGATTCAAACAGCCCTCCCCGAGGCACGGATTTCCGAAGGCACTGCCATTCTCGTCTTCATGCAGAACTTTGGCGGCGCCGTGGTTTTGGCCATTGCACAGAGCATCTTCAACAACACCCTGGTCCGGAACGTGCGCGCCCAGAACGTTCCCGTAGACGCCAACTTGCTTCTGACTCAGGGCGCCACTCGTCTCACCTCCAATGTGCCTGCAGAGTATCTCCCACAGATCCGGCAGGCTTACAACGATAGCATCGATCAGGTACGTCCTTTGAACGCGAGCGATCATAAGAGAGGAGAAGAGTACGAGATTGCTGACTTAAGCAGACATTCTATGTTGCGCTCGCAACTGCCGCGCTCAGCCTGGCTGGTAGTGCCGCAATGCCTTGGTTGTCCGTCAAGCATAAGAAAAGCGAGCCGGAGCCGGCTGCGGCGAAGGACAGTGGGGATGAGGAGAAACGCGTCCCGTCAACGTCCAAGAGCTTAGACTAGGGCGGGAATGATGGGCCCCCAAACCTATTGCGTATGCCGGAGGCTTTTTTCGTTAGATAAACCCAAAAGATTGAGATGACGCGAGCGTACGTTCTGCTATAACGGTCTAGCTCGAGCGCCTGGGAAACAACAACCCGGAAGGACCGGCACTAATTTCGTAGGGGTGGGCAGGTTTTGGCGAGCCTAATCCATGTTGTAATATAGATCCTCGTTCACTCGGCGTTGCGGCACGGAGACCGGAAGGACTCCAGTCGGAATATGTGCATGTCCTGCAGTAAGCGAGACGCTGCAGACGGGCATCTTCCGTCCTGCATTTAGTTCCCAAGATTTACAGGAACAGCTTGCGTGGGGGATGTGCTAGACCAGGATGCGATCCGAAATATGCTTATCTTGGACCTTCAAACTGCACCCGACCCTGGGCGAAGGACAGGTGCTTGACTTTTAGACGACCACGTTTTCAAGCTTCCTCGCTTGCCGCCATCCCAACTACTCTGTATCTCCGCATTACCAACATCATTCCCATCCACCATCACCGCCACCATCAACACGACCCATGCATTGCTGTTGACAACCATCCCCTGCTGCACGTGTGTGGCACCGGCCATGTCAGCTATGTGGCCAAAATCAAAAATCCTTCAAACTTTCTTACCCCAATGTAATCGAGAGCTCCCCAAAAATGCAGCACAATCGCTTCCCGTTGTGGCTCAATGTTAGACTCGACAGGTCCCGTAAATATCGTCGAGGTTCACTCCTCCATACTGAGACTCGTTAAGCTCTCCGAATCACCCAGATCGTCATTATCTTTCTCACAATGAGTACACCGGTGCAAGTCGTTCGTTCCGCCTGTGATCGCTGTCACCAGAAGAAGATACGCTGTATCGTTGCTGAACAGTCGACCAAATGCAATCGCTGTATAGAACAGAGCATGGAGTGTATCTTCAGCGTCGCTGGACGCAATGGCCGTCCGCCGCGCTCCGACTCCAATGCCACGGCCAGATCCCAGGCGATCAGTCCGCCCGTCAGCGATGCGCGGTCAGCAGTTCCGATATCACCTTCGACCTTCTCGAGAGCATCATCATTATCGTCTTCCTCATCAGTCATAGCAGTGGTAACGCAGAATGATGGCCAGGCCGCACCGTCAGAACATCACTTGACAGCAAATGCCCTCGCCAAAACCCCCGAGCCGACGATCCCAGCCTCCTTAACGTCAATCCCCGATTTTCTGGAGGCGGGTATGAACTTCTTCACGGATGGTGACTTGGCTCATGCTTCGACGGACTTTCATACCGTCCTTGATAATTTTGACCATCAGCATTTTCTGGACCCTGCCTTACTTGCGACCCCTATCTCGGACCACAACCCCCGACATGCCCTGGCGGACGACGGTGCTACTCGGGCCGATGCAGAGCCAGTGGATGAACGCCAAGCATATCTATCTAGCTGCCTCCAGCAGATGCAGGCCGTGCAACACAGACTCCACGCCCATGAAAGCTGGAGCCATATCTCGGCACCGTCGCAGGCACCTCAGCATCCTCCGAGACTCCCGAATCCCGGGTCCTTATGCACACTGATCGACGAGATCAACACGGTCGTCAAGCAATGCTTGGACGCCCACCCTGACCAGGAATCTTATTTTGACTTTACCTCCTTCATGTCATTCGTTACATTATTCGGCAACGCCGTAATGATCTACACTGCCCTCGTGCGGTCTCTGTTCTCGAAGAACGTAGACCAGCAGCAGCAGCATCAGCAGAGCCAACCAATCGACATTACCTATCCGACCATGCAATCCTCTGCCCCCTCTCTCGCTCGCCATGCCTCCTTCTCCGGCTACCTCGATCACAATCGTAACGCAACGGGGTACCAATTCCCCCCTTCCTCCGTCCAGACCACCACGAAACCCGCAGAACCTTGCCACTACTCCCTCACCCCACAAGTCCGCATCGGCGATTTCGTGACTTCTCAGTCCTTCTCCCAACGCATAATCGCCAACATGATCCTCGTCCAGATGGCCATCACGCGCCAGCTCATGGAGCACATCCGCCAGCACATCCTGCAGCCGGATGGCAACCGGTCGGGGGCCGTCGGCGCGCACCACATGTTTCGTACGTCGCCGTTTGAGACCCCTGATGGCTCGAGTCGGCACAGCCGCACTTCGTCCGCCGGCGGCCATGCCCTGGCGGAACTCCAGATCCCATCGTGCAGCTGCTGGATCGCATACAGATGCGAATGCGGAGTATTGAGTTTACAGCCATGGAGATTTGTGGGGGAATGTAGACGAGACGAGTTCGTCTTTTGTGTGTTTCGAAATTAATTATACATGACAGTACACAATAAACACGTACATGGGATCGTTTTCGGCGCCAATCTTTTGAATCACTATCATTTTCACCTGGTAATAACCACCGACCATTTACCGGGTTCGTGATTTGTTAGCAATCCTCGAAATACTTCCGCTCGTCGGTGGACGGCATGTTGGTCCCCAGGTTGCACATTCTAGTGGGATATCTGCTCGCATTAACATGATTGAAAACTTCATGATTCATGTACTATATGTAAGACGACAAGGACGGCGGCAAGGTAACTGTACGACACAAAACCTGGACGGATCAGCAGCCATCAAAACTTGTTCCTGCTTTGAGTTTTCAACCATTCCTCACGCTTTTCGAATTTTGCTTTGGGTTACCGAATTGTCATAGGCATGGGCAGCTCAAACCAAAGATTCCCCACCCGGTGTTGTACAGCCGTATGTCGTGTTATCTGCGTAGGCTTGAACACGCGCCCGCCGGCTTCTCGGAGGGTTTAAGACGCCGCTCGAGTGGTTTTGAAGGAGAAGGCGAGTTTTGTACCAAATTGTGCCTTTCTTTAGCAAGACCACTGGGCTTTCGGCTGGTACGTTCAAAAGCTCAAGAGAATATTGCGACGCTCCTCTGGACCTACCGTTTGCTTATTTACCCTTTCTGTTCCAAATCAATGACAACAGTGACCCACGAAGCTGCCTGTCTTCCCGGTGGCGTACCCCTCGGACCTGAACACTATGATCTCGCAACTCGATTTTTGGCCCGTTGCGTTCTGGACGTTTGGAATCTGGTTTCTGGGGCGATGGGTCGTCGCGGCTACGCGATACTCGCGCAAAACGAAGAGCCACGGCTGCGGCACGCTCAAGTCTTACCCGCACCGGGAACCCTTACTGGGCCTTGATTTCGTGCTGTCCATGAGCGCTGCCTTCAAGGAGCACCGATGGCTATCCTGGATGGAGGACACATGGGCGTCGGTCGGAGCCAAGACATGGCAGGCGCGCTTCATGGGTTCTCGGATGATATATTCTTCTGAGATGGAGAACATGAAGGCCATGAGCACCTCTCAGTGGCAGGAATTCGTCCTAGAGCCCATCCGCGTGGATAACGGAGTGGCCACGCCCTTCACCGGAAAAGGCGTGAGCACCGCCGATGGCGCCTTCTGGCACCGCAGCCGCGACTTCATCAAACCGTACTTTGAGCGCCAGGCCTTTGCCAATCTTGACCGCTTGCAATTGACTACCGATCGCATGCTGGACCTCATCCCGACCGATGGCACGACCTTTGATATGCAAGTGCTGATTCGACGATGGGTTCGTTTGCTCCGCCTGGGCCACAATCCAGAGAGGAGTCTTTTGCTGACGTCGGATACAGTTCTTGGACATCTCCACGGAATTCTTGTTCGGCGGAAATCGGGACTCTCTCACGTTTCCGGAGCGCGAGGACGTCATGTTGGCCATGGTGGAGATCATGCGGGGCATCCGCGTCCGACTCACCATGAGCAAGTTTCTGTGGCTTCACCGCGATCCGAAGTGGTTCGCGGCCGTCCAAGCGGTTCACCAATTCATGGATAAGCACATCGACCAAGCATTCGAAGAACGACGCGCGTTGAAGGCGTCCACTGGAACGGACTCCACCGCAGGCTCTAGTCGAACCGATCTTTTGTGGGATCTGACTGCCCAGTTTGAGCCCTCACAGAAGAAGCTGTTACGGGACCAGATCACAGCCGTCTGGGTACCCAGTAATGAGACAACGAGCATTCATATCTCCAACGCAATTTACTGTCTCGCGCGACACCCTCAAGCTTGGCAAAAGCTGCAAAGCGAGGTCGAGGCCCTCAGTGACGAACCGCTAACCTTTTCAAGGCTTCGTGGTATGAAGTATCTTACCGGTGTCATCAATGAAAGTATGCACTCACCTCTCTCCCAAGGAAAATGTTGAGGCAAGCGAATATGGGAATACCTTACTGACCAGATTTTTTTAGCCCACCGGCTCATGCCAAATAGCATCATGATGATTCGTCAAGCCGCTAACGACACCACGCTACCGCGCGGCGGTGGTCCTGATGGTTCTCAGCCCATCTTCGTCGAGAAAGGTGACATCGCGCACTGTAACCGCTACCTGCTCCACCGCGACGAGTCCTATTGGGGTGCGGACGCTGCAGAGTTCAAACCTGAACGCTGGGAGAATGCCCGACCCTTGTGGAATTTTGTGCCTTACGGTAAGCCTTCACCTTTCCGCAACGTGTCGAACCGAACCCCTCTCTAGCTCGGGAACTTATGCTGACTTTGCTGGCTCAATGTGAACAGGTGGCGGGCCTCGCATTTGTCCCGCGCATGTCTTGTCAGATGGGCAAGCAGCGTACGTGTTGGTAAAATTCTGTCAACGCTTCAAGAACTTGGAAGCGCGTGATCCGGAAAAGTACGTGGCAGTGATGCGCATCGGTCCGAGTAGCCTCAATGGTGTGAAAATCGCGGTGGAACGACGTTAGTTCAAGTGATGGAAACTTGGGCGATATCTTGAGGTGCGGAAAAGACGTCAAGACGAACTCGTCGTTCGTCTTCCTCCTCATGTAGCCTTCCTCCTGGTCGTATCCTTCAACAAATCTCTACCTAATGAGCACGTCACGTCGTATGCCCGTATACAGCGACACGTGTGTGATGTTTTGTGTCCTGACGCGTAAAGTTCCTTCACGGTGAAAGATATGCTCTCTCAATCATCAAGGTAACGTAGATGAGTGTACTAGACTCGAGTAAACATAATCCAAGGAGAGCCCAACTGCCAAATATTCTCATTGCTTTGAACGCCGACTTGGAGTGACCGAGAGCGCGTCGTGCCCCAACGATGGGTGTTGATCACGTGATGTGGATTCCGACTTCGCATCACAGGCACTCCGACATAAAAACTACCTAGGTATATTCCATGACCACGAAAACCTGACAACCGTATTCACGATCGCCATCTGTAAACCATTGCCCACCAATACACCTTGGCCAACACATACACACAGCGCAATGGCGAGACAAGGCCATCCCTGTCACTATGCTGCATCGGCTTTAATGTTTACCAGCTGATAAGGCTTCCTCAAATTTGCACGAGATGAATCTCCCGACTCTCGCTGGCCAATCTTCCGCCTCCAAAGGATCCAGGATCTTTCGGCTTATACATGTACTTCCATCGGGCTGTACAAGATACAGACCGCTGTGACGTGCATGACTTTCCGCCACATCATTCGTGAGGACTGTTCCACACATGACGGCTCGACGGCTTGGGAATCTGGGACTCAGGCAGAACTGTGCTTGCTGCTCCCCGCTTGCCTCGGCTGACATGGCGATACGTCGATAAAGGAACGGCACTGTAGAGCTGACAAATGACATCCACGGACCGCAGCTTTCCAACAGTCGCTCTAAAAATCCCGTCGAAACCAGACCTGGATGAGTATGAAGCAGCGAAAGCTGTGGGTGATGAGCCGCGAAATCGATCAAGGCCAGCGTGTGCAATGTGGTCGCTTGGTTGACTACGCGTAGGGTCGTATAGTTTTTGCCCCCATGAAGTGACAGCGCAAGATCACCATCCTGTGTGAACAGCGGCGCCTCGTGACACCCGGCCAAGACCGAGACGATACGCGGACTTTTCGCGGCCTCGAGGAGTGGTGCGAGCCGTTGACAGAATCGCATGCGACCGAAGACGGATAGCGCGAGACACTTGTCAAGTCCTTCGGATGTGTCTGCTTCAAGCGTTAGCGGGAGTTCTTCACAAATCGACCAGAATCCACGGACAGTGAGGTCCACCCGCTCCGAGGTAACCTGCGCTCATGTAGAGCAAATCTAGTCTCTTCTCTCTTGCGCATATCGTCGCGCATGCCTGGTCAACACCCTGTATGAGCGCGACCTCGGCTTCGATGAAGACGATGGCGGCGCTGTGCTTGAGTTTGCTCAGTTTTTCAACCTCCGGTTGGAAACGTGCTTTGGATCGCCCAATGACATAAAATCTGCCCTGTGGTATCTCCCGGTACAATGCCTCCAGAGTCTTTAAACCTATGCCGCTCGTCGCGCCCACGAAAACGGCTGTGAAGTCGCCCTGTAAAGCGTCACCCGCGACACTCTCGATCATGGTCCCTTTATTGGTGGCCATGAATTTTTTTCACTACCAGTCAGCCACGTGTGGTGTGATGGAGTTGTTGTCTTCTCGAAGAGCTGCCAGCCTAATGCAGCGCATTCGCTCTCTGTGCGAGGGGCCCTGTGACCAGAAGTGAACGCAAGGGATTGGCCGCCAGTCTTTGGATACTGTCCATTTCTCGAGCACAGCTACCAATTACCGCCAAGCCCGAACGGTCTACATCTAATGAGTTCGAACATTGTTCGAGGTTTTAGCTGCGTCCGCGACCTGGAAACCGGGAGCCAATGTAACCGGAGGGTTTTGAAAAAAACCATCCGAATATCATCGATGTGCATTACTAGGCTTCATTTTCAGACTTTAGATGAAGAGTTGAACCCATTGGCAATATTGGTGCATTGTCGTACCTCTGACTTCGTCGCTCTGTTCAGGCGCAAGGATTCGAGGCGGCCTCGACATCCAACTTCGCAATGTTGTTCGACACCGTAGCGTACCAAACTCAGCCCACCCTCGTGGTATTCTTCGGGGCAGCAATCGCATTTACAACCATCGGTCTGATCAGCAATGTCATATACAATCTCTTCTTGAATCCTTTGGTTTCCTTTCCTGGACCGCGCATCTGTGCAATCTCAAGAATCCCGCAGTTACTTGTCACCATCAGCGGCAAGCAACTCGACGTTCTGCAATATCTTCACAATGTCTACGGCGGTGTGGTCAGGATCGCTCCAGATACTCTCACTTACACCGACGGAAGGGCCTGGGCGGACATCTGCGGCGCGACAAAATATGCTAAAGATGGCATGGCTAAAGAGCCGCGATTGGCCGCTCTTATTGGCGGCGAAAACACCAATCCCGAACCTGGAAAGCCCCGGCGCCAGCAAGCTCACGGCCTCATGCGAATGGCTATGCTTCCTGCTTTCAAGGCCTCGAACGTGCGAACTATGGAGGGTGTGATTCAGGCAAATCTCGCGGAGTATTTTCAAGCCATCGACGCTGGCATGGAACACGACGGAATGATCGACATGCGCAATATGAACATTTACCTCATATGCAACACCTTCTTTGAGCTGCTCTTCAGTGAGAGCTTGAACCTGTTCAAAAGCGCCAAGTATCAGTCCTGGGTACACTCCTTCGACCGCTTCTCTCGTGCGGTGACAATTTTGGCCGTGGTGAATCGATTCCCTTTCGTCCAACATGCACTCCGATTCGTCGTTCAACGCTTGGGCGCCAAAGATCGTGACACATTTATGGAGCCTATCCTGGACCACTTCGATCGCCGCGTAGCCTCGGGACAGTCCCGGAATGATTTTCTCGAACATCTTCTAGAAGGGGAGGGTAAGGTGAACACCATGTCACTTCCTTCGCTGCGTGAATTTGTACCGTTTCTGGTTCTTGGCGGCTGCGATACCATGCCCACAGTCATGGCTGGTCTTTATTATTTCCTCGCCCAGAAAAACAAAATTCAGAAACGTGTCGTGGAGGAAGTTCGAAGCTATTTCGAGTCCGAGCAAGAAATCACTCTAGCTCGCCTCGCCAACGTTCCCCGCGACCTGCCCTATTTCGAGGCTTGTTTGCAAGAAGCCTTTCGCTGTTACTCTCCAGCGGGCACAGGAACCGACCGGGAAGTCCCTCAATCAGGCGCGCGAATTGCCGATCGTTGGGTCCCTGGTGGTACTGTCGTAATCATGCTCCATCAGCCGACATTCACATCGCAGCAAAACTTCACCCAAGCCAACGAATTTCGCCCGGAAAGATGGCTGGATAATGAATCTGGCCGCCGAAAGGAATTTGAAAGCGACCAAAGAGGAGTGCTCAAACCGTTTAGCACAGGACCTCAGGCCTGTCCCGGGCAAGAGTAAGATTTGTCGTTTCACCATTACGCATTCGAGATGGGCTCTAACAATTTGCTGCAGGTTGACATACTATATTCTTCGCATGATTTTCTTGAGGATGCTTTACCGATACAACATGCAGCTTGCACCGCAAAGCTCGACGTGGATGGATAACCAGCTCACGTATAGTTTGAGGATGAAACCTCCGCTTATGATGATTCTGAAGCCGCACAATGTCTGATCATGAGACCGCAGCTGGACAATCAAATCTGAGAGCATGGCTGGAAATAGCATATCGGCATCGGTCAAATCGGACGCGGTACTTGATAGAAACGACGTTTTGCAAAATTTACCTTATACCTATGAAGCTGGCCGGGACGTGCCTTAGTAATCAGCAGCATGGGGCATCTGATGTGTCATCCGCGTGCCCCGTATTGCCAGAGGTACGTACCTGATTACGTCAGCCACCGGTAGGCACTTATGTCAGCCACCGCCCAACGCCCACCGGTGCTTACGTCACCCACCACCCAACGCCCACTGGTGGGCGACCTGGGCCTGTGTGGTACCTGAGGCATCCTACCTACGGAAGATGCCGCTGTAAATGCCTGAGGCATCAACTTTTCCCCTTCTCTCTTCTGTACATAGAAATTTCCCTAGATGGGGATTGAGGACAGACACATAGCTTTCAATACAATTTTGGGTGTCAGCATATGCAGCCTTCCCGACCCGCAGATTTTCACCAATTCCACCCTGCGGCGATACCCCGTCCGATCTGACCGATATCTGTAACGATTTATGCTGAGCGAGTGCGCTCGCCCTACTTCGTCAAGAACGATCGGCGGTGAAGAAGGAAGCTTGGCAGGCCTGGGACATTGAGACCTACGATCGGCACAACAAACGCTTACTATATACGTCTGACTGCTAATTGTTGTCCTCGGTTTACTGTACGATGTGCTAATTGTATTTTGGCCAAGTTTCGAAGCCGAGGTGATCGTTGGACTGCACCGCATGGTAGAGCTTGCGGAGGCGAAAGTCTTCAAAGCGGATTTCGCCTAGTCGTATGTTGTGCTGTTATGCCATCACATTGAGATTCTTCGCGAGGCCGTGGTGATGTTCTGCCAACACATTGAAATTCCCCGCGAGTCTGAATGCACAGCTGCTTATTCACTTGATGTACGTCATTTTCTACCCACCACATTCGGAGGCTCGCGTTTTCGGCGTGAAACAGTGTTTCGCATTTCTGGACGGACTTCTAAAGACCAAGCCGAGCGAGCCTTGTGGCATGGAAGTACTGCCATGCTCGTCTATATAGCCAACTCCATGATCGACATCTCGGACCCGAAGGGAAGGTTCGTCTCAACCACCCTCAGCGGCGGATTGGTACTCGCGAAAATGGCGTTCCAATCCTCCTCCGTCCGTTCATGATTTCCATGCAATTGCAACATGGCCAGATCGCGCACCCGCAATTGTCTTTCCACCACCGAACTGATGCGACCTGGCATCGGGAGGACGGTGTCCATGACAATGATGCGGGACTTCTCCGACGCCATCGCGGATGCGAGCTGCTGCAAGATCCTGACGCAGTCCTCGGGCGACCAGTAGTGTAAGACCATGCGCACAAGGAAGACCTCGGCCGGCTGAGGTTGTGGGGCAAAGAAATCATGCACGGCGTAGGAAACTCGCGAGGCGATGGCGTCGTTTCGGAGGTTGGTGAGATATTTCTCTCCGATGGCAACGACGTCAGGCAACTCCTGAACGATGAAGCTAAGACCAGGGTACTGCTCTGCTAATGCGATGGCAGCGAGACCTTCTGCTCCTCCGACCTAAGGGTATTGTCAGCGATCAGCGAGTTGTCAACAGCAGCCAAGAATCGCAGTGAAATATGCGCACATCGATCACGGTCGAAACACCCAATTTCTTCCAATCATACCCGTGCACGACATGTTTCAAATCCAGACCCTCCGTCCCCGAAACGGCCCTCTGGTACTCTGTGTACTTGGCCAGTAGCTCCGGATTCTTTTGAAGATGTTGGAAAAAGGGCAAGTCCGTGTCTAAGGCGACATTGAATGCAGTCTCATTGATTTTACCTCCTTGAGGCCATCTCTCCGTCGCTTCGACCATTTTCATGGCAATATCGACAGGCTCAATTCCCATGATCAAGGCCCAGTCATGAAGCGCAGAGGACCGCGCGAGGAGAGCTGAGGCCGCAGTGTGTTGCACTTGTTCGCTCTGGGGCTCACAAAGGATATGAGCAGTCATGGCCATTCGGGAAATGGTCTTGAGGGAGGAGACGGGGACTTTGCTCGAGTCGGCAAGGTCGGAAAAGGAAATGGTCCCGACATGCGGAACGTTCTTTAGGACATTGAAGTGACAGAGCCAACGGAGACAGGCCACGGTTTGATACTGAGCGAGTTCAGCCAGCAGAACTTGAAACGTCTGAATGTTGGACTTACCGCCACGGTTAGATGCGAGAGGATTTTTGACGGACCGGAGCAGAGGTCAAAAAGGAGGAGGGAACTATCCATAATCTCGTTCTTCGCGATCTCGACATCTCGTGGATTCTGGTCATCTTTGGCGACGGCGAGCTGGGTAGGTTCGAACGATGGTCCGGGCAGAGAACTTGTGTTGTAGAAGTCTTGAAGCACACGAATATTTTCCACAATGTCATTCAATATCTTGTCAAGTGTTTGGATGGACGGATCCCTGACCGGTTTCAAAATGGACGACATCTGTGGCAACCTGACACACAAAAGTATTGAGCACAAATGGTGATATCGTTGCGAGTGAAATGTGGCGCTGTCGTGGAGCTACATAGGATTGGAGCCTATGGAGCAGGATTATCAGAACACCCAGCTCCGAAGTCAGGATCATCAAGAAGGACTTCTCGGTGGGTTTGCGCGACATGTTCGGCGATTTGGAAGGTTTCGTGGACAGAGGTGGCCACAAGCAAGTCAAGCAAGTCTGGAGCCTGGACTTGGCTTGACTTGAGGCCTCAAAACCGTGGGCTTGACTTGCTTGAGAGGTCCGAGGGGATGGCTTGACTTGCTTGACTCGGCTTGAGCCAAAAGGCCAAAAGTTCAGCCACCTGCGAGAATTGAATTCGCGACCTTGGAGTCTACGATCCCCTTGCTCTACCGCTGAGCTAAGATGGCCAGAGCCATAACAGCTGGACCATTTGTGCCGATGTCTGACCCGGTGTTTTCGGGGCATTTCAATGCTCTCCG